GATGCAGCAGCTGCTGTTCTGGGGATGCTTTTTGAGCCTGAGTGCATCATATAATGAGCATCAAAGTTGTAGGAACTAGAAAGCATTTGGGCTTTTGCTGCAAAAGACAAACACTCCGTCTTCTTTGGCCATTTTTGCAGACTCTTCTTATTTTTAACCCTAGTAATATCACCATTTATCCTTTTATATCTCAATCTGACATATTCACACTGTCTAAATCTGTATTCCATTCATTAATCAGCAGTAGTTACGGGCTTGTAAAAGTCAGATTGATAAAAAGGAATCAGACTTTTTTTTTATTTGAGGTGGAGACTTGCTTTACCGAACTCACCGTTGGCACCAGGGTTCGACTGAGCCACTTGGAGCCTTCTTTAGGGAGAAATGATTGGATTGTTGGATTTATCTGTGACAACATCATTCAGTCATTTTCACACATGAATCAACAGATGTTTTCACATTAAATGGTCTATTTTAAATGTAATAATTTAAAATGGCTCCAAGATGTCTTCAGTTTGTGTCTTTTGTAATGTACTACCTTCTCCACTAACCCAGGCTTCCAGTAGGGAAACCTAGTCATCCCACTCCACAGCTACACTTTCCAGCCCCACCTGGAGGATCCCCCTGTGAGTCATATTTGCCCTGAGATCTCCTCCTTGTGAAACGGGCCTGGAAATCATCCAGAGAGAGGCAGAAAGAAGGCATCCAGATGTCTGAACCACCTCAACTGGCTCCTGTCCATGGAGAGGAGCTCCACTCTGGCTTCCCCCTCAGCAGATGGAGCTCCTCACCTTTTCTAAATGTGACCCGTGCTATCCTCCACATATCGAGTCACCTGTGGCTCATCCAGTGATCATCCCTCCCAGTGTAAAAAATCTGATCCCTCTAGTTCTATGTTTGAGTCATCTTTGCACCCTTGTTTTTGTTTGTTTTTTAGGATGTGTTTTAGTCCTGGTCTTTATTTTTCTAATGTTCCTATTTTCCGGACCGCTGCATGAGATGTCCTATCATTTCAAACTTTTGTTACAGAGCCAAGCAGCAAGATTTTTTTAAAGGCAACAACATTCTGACTAAAAAACATCTTAGTTCACTTTTTTAAAGAGAATAAGAAATGTGTTGGCCCTGCATGGTTGAAAGCATGCAGTTTATTTTGAAATGCATTCAAAAACATTGTTACCCACCTTTGCCTCCCAGCAGTTATTTTAATCTAGTTCCAATTTTGTGACAGAATTTTAATCATAAAATCAAAAACGCCGACCGGAGCTCTCCATCGCTTGCTTCCTGTAGCTAATCAATGAAAGCCAGCAGAAACGGTGTATCGCCTCAGCAGAAATTATTCACATCCTGCATGTAAACGACCTCTTTCTGTATTCTCAGACTGAAGTCTGCGCAGACTGAGATGGCGGCTGGACCCCGTGGGACCCTACAGATGGGACAGCTTGTGCCATACTGAGGGCCGTCACATCCAGACGGTAAAATGTCACAAAAATGTCAGGGGAGACCCAGATGGCTTGGAAGCTGATAGTCCTCAGTGATACACCATTGAACACCAGCAAAGAAAAGGCCAAACTGCCCTACGCTCAAGTGCTGTCGCAGACAGAATATTGGCACTGTTGCCATTAGTCAGACACTGGTTCAATATTTTATTTGCCTCCTTTCATCTAAAGACCATAAAGAGCAGAGCTGTGTATTTATGAGGCAGTAGCGTACAGTTATTGGGAACAACAAAGCTTGAGACGTTTTATATTCACTCATATTCAACAGTAACAGAAGCTCGGTCTTTGTAATCAGTCCGGTGCTAAATAATCTATGACCTTTATGGGACCTGTAGGAATTGAAACCAATTTGGCTGAACTTATCTCCTCCTGCACGTCTTTGGCGTGGGACCAACCTCCTTTCCCGCTGAGCGACAGCAGCCTGCAGCTGACTCAAGCTACAGAAAGGGAGGATTAGATATCCAGTGAAAGTGATATAAGATCTGAAACACAAGGAAAAAGAGGAATGCCTCTCCAGCCTGCTGCTAAACGTGTGCTGACTTCTGCTCCGAGTCGTATGCTCGGCACAAACGCTGGCATCGTGACACCAAGAATGTTGTCAGGTACGCTGAGCCTGCATCAGCTCAGCGTGCAGCCCCCAGTTTGTAACTTGTCACATTCTGCAAGTGGGAAATTTAAGAGAAACTAAGCAGGTTTGTCTCTACAAGTATTTGTATCAGTGAGCAAAAAAATAAATACAAAAGTAAAAATTCCCAAGAAGAAACGAATATAAGCTAAGATTTAAAACACTTGGGTGATCTGCACCCCTATGGTCATGAGCTTTGGTCCATCTGTTTTCATCGACTCATCTGGTGGTAGCAGCTCAAAATGTCCTCTTCCCATCAAACCTCCATCAGCACCACCAGTAGGATACTGAGGCATTTCCTTATTAACATGGAGACATCCCCCCAGAGTGTTTTATTAGACAAATACATTTTTTAAATGAAAACGTAAATTTGTACTTCTGTAAAGACTAAATTGTGAGAAATATTGATTGATATTTTCATAGACAAAAAAAGGCGACATTAAAAATCTAATCAGAAAACGCAATGATTGGAAGAATGAAAAAAAGAACCAATTAGCAAATGGAACAGGCGGGACTAGCCGAGACAAGAACCAATCAGAGTCTGGAGCCGGCTGCTGTTGGATCTAGTTTCCACCAACAGTTTACAGTTTGCTAACATGTCTGAAATAAGAAAATGTAATAGGCTGGGAGGAAAACCATTAAATGTGACGTTGACCAAAAAAAAAATCTTCAAAAAATTATTTTAAATGATGTGTAAAATTAGCAGAACAAAACTAATTAGGAGAATTTGAATAGGAAAATGGGAAATCAGTGGAGCCCAGAAATGGTGGAACTGGTAGAAAGAGCAGAGAGGAGAGGATGACGATGAAGGTCACACCAAAGCCTGAACAGGTGAGTTTTCAGCTGCTTTTTAAAGGAGTTCACTGAGTCCACTGATCTCAGGCTCAGGGGGAGAGAGTTCCAGAGTCTGGGGGCCACAGCAGCAAATGATCTGTCACCTTTGGTCTTTAGCCTGGTGCTGCACAACCAGTAGGCTTTGATCACTGGACCTCAGGGACCTGCTGGGGGTGTAGGGACTGATAAGATCACCAATGTAAGATGGTGCTTGTCCATGTAAGGCCCTATAGACCAGAACCAGGATCTTGAAATGAACCCTGAAGTTGACTGGCAGCCAGTGAAGCTGGAGGAGAAGCGGGGTGATGTGGGTGTGTTTGGAGGGCTTGGTCAGAAGCCGAGCACAGGCATTCTGAACCACCTGTAGACGGTTCAGGGAGGTTCTGCTCAGACACGTGAAAAGAGAGTTACAGTAGTCTAAGCGTGAGGAGATGAAGGTGTGGATAACTGTCTCAAGTTCAGAGCGGGACAGAATGGGACTCAGCTTAGCAATGTTCCTGAGATGGAAGAAGGAAGAGCGAACAAGAGAACTGACATGAGAGTCCAAGGTGAGGGCTGGGTCAAAGGTCACGCCAAGATTTCTGACAGAGGGTTTGGTGTGAAAGGCAAGCTGACCAAGAGAGTCTCTGGCTTTGGGAATCAGCTTGTCTGGGGCACAGATGAGGATCTCAGTCTTATCTTCATTCAGCTGAAGAAAGCTCCTAGCCATCCAGGTTTTGATAGAGTCTAAGCAGGTGTGTAACAGCTGCAGCTTAGATATCTCATGGGGCTTAAAGGAGATGTACAGTTGGATGTCATCTGCATAAAGATGGTAGGAGATTCCTTTGAAGGAGCTCAGGAAGTGCTGAAGAGGAAGCAGATAGAGGAGGAAGAGCAGAGGCCCCAGCACAGAACCTTGTGGGACACCATGGGTAAGGGAGGTGGTGGAGGACCTAAACTTGGAGATGGCCACAGAAAAGGAGCGCTCAGAAAGATAAGAGGAGAACCACTCCAGAGCAGATCCTGATAGGCCTACCCAGTCTCTCAGCCTCTCCAGTAGCAGGTGATGGTCAACAGTGTCAAAGGCTGCAGTCAGGTCCAGCAGGACCAGAACAGAACAGTCCCCTGCATCACTGTGAGTCAGAAGGTCATTAGAGACCCTAAGAAGAGCTGTTTCAGCAGAATGAGCTCTACGAAAACCTGACTGGACGCTATCATAGATGTTATGTTCATCAAGAGCAGCTGTGAGTTATTGTACATTATACTAATTTGTTTATTTTATTAATATTGAGAGGCACACTTTCAAACTGTATCCACTTTAGTATTTTCCATTAATTATTGTAATTAAAACAATTCTAAATAAAGTTTTATTGATCCTAAATGTGAATTTTTCATATAGGTGTAGTTAACATGTCCTTTAGAGAAGCAGAAAATCATTGCATTAGAACAGACTTACATGATATTTTAGTCGACTAAAACAAGAGATTAAAAGAAATTGGACAACTAAATTGTGGCCAAAATTAAAAAGAACTTTTGTCAAAAGACTAAAACTAAAGCTAAATTTCTTGTCAAAACGAAAAATATTGCTGACAGGACATTCCTGAAACATTTCCTTGGGAGGCATCCAAAATGCATTCTGATCAAATACCCGAATCACCTCAGCTGGCTCCGAGCCTCTCCCAAATGTCTTCATTTGTCTCTAAAGATAGGCCCGGACAGATGACACTCTGTTCAGTTGCTTGTATTTGTGTTCTTGTTTTCTTCATGACCATAGAACCTCATCCCTGACCCGGAGAAGGCATTTTTACCATTTTGCGACTCAAGATCATAGTCTCAGTTTTGGAGTAGCTGATTCTCATCCCAGCTGGAGAACACGGCCTGATGAAGCAGGACCACATCATCGGACACCTGATCACTTAGCCACCAAAACAGATCCCTCAACACCTTAGCTGCACCTAGAAATCCTGTCCATAAAAGTGTCTGAAAATTCATTCTGAGATCTTCTTCAAGGGAACAACAACCACACCACTCTATTTAAAAGAACAAAAGTGAAAGCCTTTGAGACTGAATCAGAGGAGCTCATCCCAGCTTTATTTGTTGTTTTGAGTTTGAAACAACTGTAATCTCACTCATTATTTAACTAGTTAATTACCAAGTAATTAGCGTGAGTGTTCTCCTGAAACTGCGTCAGCTTAACACAGCTGTGAAAGTCACACAGCAGTGATGATGCTCATTAGAACAGGCTGTCTCCATTTGTGAAGCTGAACTCATGCTTCTTTTATAAAAACACAAACAACACAAACAATTTGTGTTTTTAAAATCCAACAGACACTCCCAAATTCAGACATTCTTGACAGAAAATCAAAATGTTAATTTTATACAGTTGTATTTTTCTAAATTATCCATAAACAATGGATTTGCTAATGCAGAGTGAACCACTTACACCACAATACCGTCAGAAGATTATAAACTTCAGTTGGAAAATAGAACTGGGAATAGAAACTGTGTTCCAGTTTCAACTTGAAAAACTAGGAGGGTTTTTGTAGGTCAGCAGCATATTCAGAAAACAACACTGGATGTAATGTTATATTTTTAGCTGATTTAGTAATAAAAAAGATCTGATGAACCTTGTTTTTATACCTGGGACATTTATTTAAAGTAACAGTGTGTAGTTTCCTGGAACTAGGGTGCAGTACACACATTTCAGGGTAGTTTTACACTATATCTCCATGACTGTCACTAGTTTAAAAAACCGTTACAGTAAATGTTGTTACCTGTGGAGCAGAAACAGGCAACCTCAGCGTGGCTCCTCAGTCTTTGATGGTCCTTCAGTTAATTCCATTGAGAGAATGCAATACCGATGCTAGTTTTCTGGCGTTGTAGTTTTTGGATCTGCTCGGGGTCCTGCCCCTGCCGATGACGTCATCACATGGCAGTACCACTCTGCCAAACTATATAGACCGTTTTCTCACTTCCTGGTTTTTTACCTGGAAATACGGCCAGGAAAACAAATGTAATTGCAGTGTTATTGCGGTGTAAAAGGCTGTTTTTCTTATGCACTGAAGCAGCCTTTCCTCCATTTCCATTTGTTTACAACATCTGTTGCAAGACAAAATTGTCTAGGGGCAATCAAGCATGAGGAGGGGCTCAATTTTGTTAACCAAAGGGGAAGTACTTAAGTCTGCAGCAGACAGTTCACGGCTAAAACCTGATTTATGCTTCTCCGTCTGTGTCAGTGCGGAGCACACGCAACGCCATTATCCGTCCTTGCGTAGGGATCCGGCAGGAACGCAAGTACGTACGGAGTCGAGCCCACTTTTTTAAACATCTGTCGAACGAAACGGGTTACGCAAGCTTGTGATTGGTCAGGACACTGCTGTTGTTTACAGCGCCGCCATTGCAAAGAGAGCCGAGGATAACTAGCGGCAGACACGGAGAAGCTTTAAGAATGCCTCGCAAAAAAACTCTAAAAATATGAATGTTTCATTCTCCCGTGACTGGAGGAGTGAAAAGATGCGCAGCAAGAGTTTTATTTGTGGACGGAAATGACAGGAAACGTGGGTTTAGAGGTGGGGAGCGCATGAAGAGGTGGGAGAATGAGAGACAAATATGTCCGTGTTAAAAATCTCTTATATACACAAAAAACACAATATAAACACACTGTCTTGGACCGATACATGACATGATACCACAGAACAGCGCTACACCCTCTGTGGTCCTGCCGGGCAATTGCTTTGCAACACTCTCCAGGAGACGGAGAAGCAAAAGAGCAAAACGCTTCCGTCAATCCGTGCGTGTCTGTCCCTTGCAGAGCTGATGGAGAAGCATAAACCAGGCTTAAGGATTAGTGCTGGAACTCCAGAAGGCAAAGAAGGCAGCAAGACTGGACCATGATGCCACGTTAGCCCCTGTTAGTCCCTGCAGGTAAGTTGTGCTAAGTGAATTCTGTTAAAATGCAAGCTCTTGTACGTGTTCATGACAATTAAATGGTGCTGAACTCATAGTTTGCTGAAGGCTGGGGCACACTGGAGACAGAGTTACACCTTCTTTCCACCGGAGCCGTCAGCAGCACGTTACTGCAGCAGCACGTCTTGCTCGCGTAAGCTGCTGCTTGTTCCTTCCCACGAGACGCGAAGCAGCAGGGGAGCAGCTGTCACCGACCGAGCACGAAGTCACACGAGTGACTTCGTCAGTAAACACAACAACAAGCAGGAGAAAGCTACAACATGGCTCCAAAAGGTTTGTGTTTTATGTTCCGTCCGTTTTATAATCGCCAGTACGGACCTGAAAAACAAATGAGACTGCTAGCTAGGTGATAACTTCTCACGGGGATGCACATTTAGTAACTTTTTTTAAGTAAAGCAACCGGAAGGCAGTACATTTCTTTATTCTGAAAATCTCGGGAGCTTCGCTCCGTTTCCGTGTTCCAATTTCCTGTCTTTCCTTCCCCAAAAATGTCGAACTTGACCCGTTTCAGAGGCGTTGCGCGTAGAAAATAGAACCGGTGCGTAAAGGCCGCGACATGCTGCTCCTGAGACGCGGCCGACTCGCGCTGCTGACGGCTCCGGTGGAAAAGGTTCTGTTGACCACAGCGGTTCTTATCAGCAGCTATGACGTGCTGCTGCAGTAACGTGCTGCTGACGGCTCCGGTGGAAAGAAGGGGTCAGGCGCAAGAAGTCAATATGTCACACAGGACACGCCGCGCCGCTGAGCACTTCTTGTAAAGTCGCGCGATAGTCACAACATCACTCGGTACTTGAGAACAAGAAGCGGGAAGTGACTCTATTGTTTATTTGTGATCAGACTTGCCATCGTGTTTTGTGAGACTCAAATTCATTAAAAATGGGTAAGTATGCTTTTATTTGAATATTTTAATATCAATAGTACTTTAACGTTATCAAAACTGTGGTTGGGTTTGTGCCGTGATGTCGTTCCGCGTCATAAGTACTCCACAATGTTGCAAACATTCTTTGAACATGGTAACATAATTTCCATAAATTGTGCATCCACCCAATCAACTAGTGTGATGTCATCGACAGGCGAAGGACCCCGAGCTGGCCAGAAGGAAACATGACGTCTGATATGGTGTCCCCCAAAGTCACTAGACCGTGCTCTATGTACTTTAGACACATTTTTATGGTAGTTACAAAGCCATCAAACTTTTCAACAACAGAACACCTTTTTATTCATTTTCAACAACGACTACTTCCAGAGATCAACGGTGAAACTACGCATTTTCTCATTATTGATGAGTTCAGTTTTATTTGATCTGGACCTCGCTCTGAATCAGGTAACACAACATAACCAATGGTAAGCATCCTGACTCCAAGTTCAACATCAAGGATCCCTTGAAGAAAAGATGCCAAAATGAAAAGATAACACATAAAATGATCTTGTTCATGGTCCAGATTCTGTTTCTGATTCAAGAGACCACTGAAACCTCCTTTCAGGAACTAAGGATGTCCTTTTGTCACATTTTATACATTTACTTTGCTATGTATTTTCATTTGCAGTCCATTAAGGTGTATAGTTCTGCAACTGCTGATAGAAGCCAGGGTTTGGTCGAATCGATGGTCGTGCCAGCTTCACCTGACTGTACGCATCATCAAACGGAAGCCCCTCCTTCAACATCAGGTAGCCAATAACAATGGAGGAAGAGCGTGACACACCAGCATTACAGTGGACCAGAACCACACCATCCTACAGAGAGCAAAGAACAGTGAGAATAAATCATGGATGGTAAAAATAAAACAAGCATCTTAAGGAAGCCCGTTTACTGTACAGGCTCTAAAGATAATCTCATCAGATTTTCCTGTTGTGTGTGATGTGTAAAGAGTGCTCTGAAGCATTTGAAAGCAGGTCAGCACTGCACGGATCATAGGGGGAATATTCTACATGTTGTATTGTTCTACCTCAATAGCAGTGTGTGTGGTGTATACCGAGGACAAACTACTGTGCCATCTGATGAATGTGAAGCGCAGCCAGACAGAAAGGGAGGTGACAAAAGCACGCTGCATGGAGCAAGGGGAATCCAAATCCTCCTACTCATCCACCATGATTGTTTAGGCCAAATTCATGAAACACCTGCCTATGATCGTTTACATTAAGAAAAGATTGTTTCAATTAAAGACTGTTAAACTGTTTCTGTCAGCATTCAAAGCTATTGTTGCTACTACCATTACTACCACATAAACTTAGCTCAGGATCTGTAACATTAACTGAGTAATAGTGATAAAATATTTGTGCAGCCTGTTTGAGCAGCGTCAGGAACAAGAATAGCACACCCAAACCTAGATTTTATTAAAGAGCAAGTCACCCCCAAATCAACTTTTATGCTGATAAACTATATAAATGAGTGTCTAATCGTGCTGTAGACACTTGTAGTCAGTAAATTGGCACTTTGGTGCATCTTAGTTCATTTAGTTAATTTAAATACTCTGCCTAAAACTGTCAGTGTTGCGCCATCTTCAGGTAAAAACTCTGCACTGCATTTGTATTTAAATCTGCTATCGCTATTGGCTAAGAGGTACACTTTGACGTTAGCGAGTGCATTATGATGTCACACTTTGTGAGCGTGTGTGTGTGTGTGTGTTAGCAGCTCTGCCCTCTTGGTCTGCGCGGCAACAGCATATGTTGCATTTTTCAAACAGTAAAGGTGGTATTCCAGGAGCACTACTTGGAGCAACTCCGACTGATGCCGCTCGGCCCAACCACTGTTCCCAACTTTCTCCCCTAGTTTTAGTCCCTGCTCCGTTGAGGTACCTGGCAAGACTGAGTCGGGCCGGGAACGTGATTCTGGCTGTTGATGGGCTAGGGGGCGGCGTCACTGGTTGCTCAGGAGTTTGTTGCTTTCTGTGTCACTGCCTGCAGCCATCTCCTGGTTCAGAGTCTTCCAAAAAGCACACCCACTTTCTGTCATGGGGCTGGCATAAGAACAAAACTACACTCAGATGGGCTGATTCAAACCACGCTGCACAGCTGCTCCTGAGAACTATCTTAAGTGGGAGTTGAGTTAGACTCTGGTAGGGGGTGACTTGCCCTTTAAGTGTTAGTAATGAACTTGTTTTGTGTCATTTTTAAACATTAACAAAAAATAAAAAATTCTCTCCTCCACACATCTTGTCTTCAATGAAGTTATATCTTTCAATGATTAACATCAAGAGATTGAACAATATTTGAAACTACAGTTTCACCGTCTACTTTCTATCAGAAGCTAACGCACAAGATTGGTGTAGGAGACTATTTTAATGTTCAGCCTGCAGGTAAAACTAACCGATTATTATCAGAAAATAATCATTAAAGTAGTTTTTCAATATGTTGACCTTTGAAGAGTTTTGAGGAGTGTACTACTATTGTTACAGGGAACGTAGACATAAAGTGCTCAGAGTATGACATTTTAATAATTAGCAGCAGCTGCTGCTGCTGTTTGGATCGCTGGCTGTAACGCACATAACACACAAGCTTGCAATATAAAGCAGGACAACACCTGTCCCCCTCCAGCTCGGCTGTATGACTGCACTAGCCTGTCCTGTGGGACCCTCACCATGTGACCCTCATGTCCATGCTGTCTCTGGAGGAGCAGATAGGAAACAAGATCTCCTGTAACTTAAAATGAACCAAAGCTTCCTCCCAGCTTCTCTTTAAGCTGAATTTAACATCAGTTTATCATCATGAAACAAAATAATAAAGTGGAACAAGAACTTCTATATTCTATTTATCTCTCCTTTTAACTTCTCTGTGTCCCTAAATAAGAGACAGATTATCACATTGCAGCCACCCTCACTGACCCCGCTCCCTCCCCAAGACCGGTGTTCCGACTATCCGTGCTCCCCGTCGAAATGTGCTGTGGGGAGCCGATTATTGCATCACAGGCTGTTTACAAGTCGTGACGCGCTACCTGTGGAAGTTTACGTTTAATCTCGTCACTTATCTAGTTACTTTCAACTTGTCGAAGGTCACAGTAAGTATTTCTTTTAAGTTGTTTTATTAAATTACTGTTTACCTGACATTTAGCTTGTAAATGGCTTCTAAAATATCATTATTATACTGTAAACAAGAAATTTCTCCCATTGTTTACAGTCCTTCTGAAAGAGTCCAAAATTAATATCCAAAAGTTTTATATTATACAAATAATAAATTTATCATAGTTGTATAATAATCTCCAAAATTCCATCCATCCATCCATCCATCTTGCCTGTCTCCAGCAGTCAACGGGCAAGTAGGCGGGGTACACCCTGAACAGAGAGCCAGTCCATTGCAGGGCAACAGAGAGACATAAAGGACAAACAACCATGCACACACACACACACACACACACACTCACATCTAAGGACAATTTGGACAGGCCAATCAACCTAACAGTCATGTTTTTGGACGGTGGGAGGAAGCCGTAGTACCCGGAGAGAACCCACGCATGCACAGGGAGAACATGCAAACTCCATGCAGAAAGATCCCAGGCCGGGAATCAAACCCAGGACCTTCTCGCTGCAAGGCAACAGCTCTAACCACAGCGCCACTGCGCAGCCCAATCTCCAAAATTATACATTCAAACAAATAATTATAAGTATTGGGGGGAAAGCATATTTGTTCTATGTGGATAAATTTGTCTAATAAAGGATTAGGTAGAGAAATAGAACGGTAAGAGCTAAAGTCTTACAAATCTCCATTTTTATGAATCACTTTCCCGACACGGGTAAAAGTAGTTGGTAAATCTTCATTGTTCTGAGAATATTCAAATATTTTTAGCAACTAAGAGGTTAATTTTTACTAAATGATTAAACTGCTTCTTACACTATCCACTTTTTTTCATAAAATAAATTAACAGTAGCTACCAATTTTCAGTAACATGGACAGACTGAATCAGCTGTTGAAATGCGCATTGGTAGGAAAATTCGACGAGGAAGCACGGATAGTCAGAGTGACACTGTCGAAACATGCTGCGGTAGGAAAATTTGACGAGGAAGCATGGATAGTCAGAACCCCAGATCTCCTGACATCACAACACAGGAGAAACAATAATGAAATTATGAAAATAATAATGTGTGTTAGGAGGAGCGTCCTCTCATCCTCTCTTTTAAGTGAGCATACAATCTCTCTCTCTCTCTCTCTCTCTCTCTCTCTCTCTCTCTCTCTCTCTCTCTCTCTCTCTCTCTCTCTCTCTCTCTCTCTCTCTCTCTCTCTCTCTCTCTCTCTCTCTCTCTCTCTCTCTCTCTCTCTCTCTCTCTCTCTCTCTCTCTCTCTCTCTCTCTCTCTCTCTCTCTCTCTCTCTCTCTCTCTCTCTCTCTCTCTCTCTCTCTCTCTCTCTCTCTCTCTCTCTCTCTCTCTCTCTCTCTTTCTCTCTGTCGCTGATCGAGGCCCAAATCTAACAGAACCGATCGTCGGATTCAGTTCAGGCTCAGGTTATAACTCCAGCGCTCAGCCCTGCAGAACCACATGAAGGCGGAACAAATTTTCATAACTGGTAAATGTGGACAACACCGCTCTGACAGATTTGGATGCTGTGCTGGTGCGGCCGTTAAAATAACAAAACTACATTCCACTATAATTGATTATAGTACTCTACTATGATGCAGAATCGTTTATGCCCGCATCACATGCATTGATTATTTGATGATTTTCCTCAACCCTATCTATCCAACACCTCCCGGACGGCCGTCGTGGATGGGGGTTGGGGGGGTTGGGGGCCACAAAGAGATGGCTCGCGGCAGGGCCAGATTATCATTGCAGGGGCCCCTGGGCACAATGTGCTTAGATGGTTCACATCCTACCTCACCCCCCCCCCCCCCCACACACACACACACACACACACACACACCCCACCCAGCCTCCGCCAACATTACTGCCACCCAGAAGCACTTTTTAGACATTTCATAACATTGACAATATTAAAACTTATGTTGATACAAGGGTTAAATATCTGCACGTTTTTAATTTGTCTCCTGTCTCCTTCCTCCTCTGGTCTCCTGTCTCCTTCCACATCTTGTCTCCTTTCTCCTTCCTCCTCTGGTCTCCTGTTTCCTTTCTCATCTTGTCTCCTTTCTCCTTCCTCCTCTGGTCTCCTTTCTCCTTCCTCATCTTGTCTCCTGTTTCCTTCCTCATCTTGTCTCCTGTCTCCTTCCACATCTTGTCTCCTTTCTCCTTCCTCCTCTGGTCTCCTGTTTCCTTTCTCATCTTGTCTGCTTTCTCCTTCCTCCTCTGGTCTCCTTTCTCCTTCCTCATCTTGTCTCCTGTTTCCTTCCTCATCTTGTCTCCTGTCTCCTTCCACATCTTGTCTCCTGTCTCCTTCCACACCTTGTCTCCTTCCTCATATTGTCTCCTGTCTCGTTCCTCATCTTGTCTCCTGTCTCGTTCCTCCTCTTGTCTCCTGTTTCCTTCATCCTCTTGTCTCCTGTCTCCTTCCTTCTCTTGTCTCCTGTTTCCTTCCTCCTCTTGTCTCCAGTTTCCTTCTTCTTCTTGTCTCCTCTCTCCTTCCTCATCTTGTTTCCTGTTTCCTTCCTTGTCTTGTCTCCTGTCTCCTTCCTCCTCTTGACTCCTGTCTCCTTCTTCCTCTTGACTCCTGGCTCCTTCCTCTTCATTTTGTCTCCTCTTGTTGGTCTCCTCTCTTGCCTTCAGAAAAACAGCTTTCTGCCCTTTCTATTAGTAAATTCATTAATGTCATCAAAGTCCGGATTCCTGACAAGCTGAGATTCAATATCAATCAA